TTCAACCAATAGGAAGTCTAAATGCACACAGACCAGTGGTCTGTCAAATGTAATCATTGGTGTATCTCACACCAATGTGAAACCCATTGCCGTAATCAAGTGGCTACATGTTGCCACTTGCGTGTAACCCCGTTACACGAACTAGCCTCAACACGGTTGTGAGTTTGATCTGGGTTATCCAGCGGTTCCTTTTACTTGGCTTTAGCTTTAACGTGTGGTAGCCTATGTGGAACAGTGTCACTGCATGACCTTCCTCACGAATGGCTGACATGGGTGAATCCATTTTCTCTCGATCCCGTTAATTATGTGCCTCGTTAGTTTTGACCATTCAGACAGAGTTACTTTCTTTTTTTTGTGTATCCAGGTCATCCGATGAAATGCTTTTGTAAGGAGGATATCCACGTCGGATATCGCCAAACCACAACAGTCTCCATGCATTAAGAGGATCTATGCTCGGAAAAGCAAAGTCTTTTAGGAGTCAATGAAATTTCCCGCTGCCTGTATAGTACCTATTGGTTGTACGGATTCTGGGTCCGATAACGCATTTGGCTGAGCACGCTGAAGTCCACCTCAACTCAGAGCGATCTAGTTTCTTGTCGTAGTAATTCTGTGGAGATACTTCCAGCTGCCACGTCTTTTTCTTCTAGTACTTCAATCGATTTCTGCTGAATATCTTGCATTGCACAGGTTGATGTGTGGTGGTATATCTGTTGCTTTCATTCATTTAGATTCTCGATCGTCCAGCATTGCTCGTAGCTCGTACAGAGTAGTTGGATTAGTGAAAAGGAATGTTGAAATTAGTGGATGGTTTACTGACAAGTTGACCAGCAAGAAGTCAGCATTGTGTATCAGTAGAGCGAGGGCCAGCTTCAAAACCCCAGATAGCTTCGCTCACTAGCAAATCCTGGAAACATAATCGCAACGGTTGAGCCGATCACTTCATGAGAGTTGTCGACAAAATGAGGGGGGGGGGGGGGGGGAGAACTGCAAACTTTGAATCATTTACAGGAAGGCCTGCAACCACACGCGCTAAAAACTGATCACCCGCAACTTAGTTTCAAAAATATCTGTCCTCACAGAGACCAAATACACTGTGATCTTTCTGTAATAAGTGCTGTGTTTGAAGATATTGAACAGAAGCGGACCTACACTTCATATTCCATTGAATTGTCAAGAAAAAGTGGGAGGAACCGCTGTCATTTCGCTTGAGAGTAGAAGCACATAGCTCCTTGTAGAGCGAATATGCAAGCGGTTGCATGCCGGGACGCTTAGGTGAGGTGGACGGGTTTTCATCGGCCTCCAGTCTCTTCGTCCCGGAAAATATTGTGAATTCCGTCCAAATTTGCCGATTTGGGTCTGTTTGAGGAGCCGGAGGACGATCGCTCACATACAAATCCAAGTCATTAGTAGATCCCACCAAGCCTGTTCTGGCCACATGTCCAGATCTTATTTCGTACTTAAACGGGTCAGTATACGGAATTGAATGCGCTGGGCGATTTGATGGAGGTTCATTCAAAGAACCGCCCATGGAAATTTTGAGTAGAACTCACAATAAGTGTTGCATAACATCTCCATATTCCACAGGTAGTGGAGGCCGCATTAAGCTGTAAATATCCTTTATTGCACCTAGATATCCACTTAACGTTACGGATTTTGCACGAGTCACTTGTACACCAAAAACAATCGCCAAACGGACGGGTTAAACTCAATGAGATTAAGGTTGCCATTCAAGTAAAAATAAAAATAAAAAAGGTTCTCTATGGCAAGCCCCTCCCTTTTTTTTGATCGCGTTGATGCTGCCTGCGTACTTCTTCCTTGTCTCAGGGGATATGCAAGAGTCACGTCCTGCCTACGCGTCAGCGACACCAGTACCCTGCGAACTTTCTAGGGGGCATGTTATTTTCACTATGGATGTACGCTCTAGGAATTAAGCTATTATGATCAGTTACTGT